GGTCCTAATGAACCCCTGTTGTTTGCCTAATGCCATGATTAATTCCAGCTGCAAGAAATGGTATTAGCCTGGGTGGGTACATGGTTGAAGACTCTGATTCTCCTCCAAGATTTATGGGTGCTAGAGAAGGCTCCATAACTCATGTTGCTGAGTCTATAACTTTTCAGGCAGTAAACAGAAGCCTCTGCCACAACAGGCCTCCACTGTGGATTCACCCTTAATTTGTTCCTGCAGTGGGAACTTAACACAATTCTTTGGGCACCAATAAACTCCTTTCTTCCAAAGCTCAGCAGAAAGGGAGGCATCTTGGACCTTGAACAGACAGCTGGTGACAGGCATCCTCACCTGTAGAACAAACAGCACAGAAGGGCTCACTACAGAAGGGAAGGGTTGCCTCAGACCATGTTACCACACCAGACTTACAGGGCACAAAAGAGAAAAGCAAGCAGGGGCCAGATTTTTGTCCTGTAGTCTGAGAAGTACCGAGTTCTGGTTCCAGGTCTAAGCATTTATTTTGAATCCAAGACTAGTTATCCAATAAGTAGTTAACACGGAATAGTATCATTGGAAGTAGAAGCCATGGGCCACCAAAACCCCAGGTCTCTCACATACATGTCTAGCCATTAAGATGATCAGAAGGAAGAGGACAGCTCTCGACACCCTTGAGAGATCATATTCGGTGCCATCACAGTGATCTTGGACACAGCTGCAGCACATCTACTGGACCTCCAGGAGATGCAGACATGAGAGACTTGGCTGTGAGCCAAAACCCACCCACGGGATGAGGTCTCTGCACTGCCCAAGTGGGGCTGCCTCAGTGCTGTAGCAGAACCCAGACTTTAGGTGGCCCAGCACTCAAGAGCAGAGGTCCATCTGAGCACGGAACCTCTTTCTGAACAATTTCCTACAAAGTAAAGGTTTCCATGATCAGCAGCCACTGATGAGCTTCTCCTTCATGTCTGTATCTAATCCCCTTTTATCCCACTTGTACTTACAGTCATCATGATATCAGATGGCAGAATCCCATCTCCTCACTACCTTTGGTGTAGCAAGGGCAGGTGCCTGCCAGGGCACAGCGTGGTGCTAGAGGAGTTCTGTTAGCTATGGCCGCAGCCTCTAAATTCTGACTGTACCATGAGACCCCAAAGAGAGCATCATAGTGACCTACAAAACCCTTGACTTCCTTTATTTCACAGGTTTACAGGTGAATTTATTTGTGGCTAGTCCCTTCTACATTACCTTCCCCTCCTCCTCTCCATATTAAGGCCGTAGAAGTTGCTTGGTATTCAAAAACATGACTAGATTATCAGTCCTTTTATTAGTGCCAGTGGCAATCTGATACCATGTTCCAGCCTGGCCACTTGCTTCACACCTCTCCAGCTAGCATAAACTGTCCTTATTCATAGTTGCAGAGATTTCCAGAAAAGAGAGGGAAGTCAGCAAGTCTGACACCACAAACTCAGAAAATAAAGTAGAATTTGGACTGGTCAGAGGTGGAACAGGATAAGAACAGATGGGAAACCTCAGCTATATGAAAATTTCCGTCTTCTCCTCAAAAAAAAAAAAAAAATCATCATTACAGAGACAAAAAAAATGTTCTGTTACCAGAATTCTGCTTTAGGTTTGAATCTGTGTGAGATGATATCTGCTGCTTACATCCCAGTCAGTCCTTCCCTGACAATCAGCCTACAGGATCAATTCTTAGGAGAATTATTGCATATTTAAACCCAGATATATACAGAGTAGCTCAGTCTGGATGGAGTTTAAGATAGAGATAAGCCATATGATATTTGAGGGGCCAAGGCAGCAGAAACAAATATCCATAAGTCCAGGGTTCAGAATTGCCTCACTCCATACAGCAGCTCAATACAAATCACAGTCTAAGTACAACATTATCATATTCAGTTCTCATGACTCCCCTGGCATCCACCTCACCTAGACCAGGACTGCACTTGAGCAGGAGTGAAAAGGCAGAGCCAAACCATGTTACACAACTCCACAAAGAAATACAGAGGTTCAATATGCTTCAGACAAACCCAAGAATAACCATTACACTGTGGAAAGTATTTGCCATTAAAACATTTTTCATTAAAAGTGGCATTTCTGAGAGTTCTATCCTGCTGAAAAGCAATACCAGCTTCACATCAGAAAGTCTTTAAGAAAAATTTCCATTGCTGCTATAATTAACTTCTCTGTTGAGGTTGTATTGTTCCTCTTTCACAGAAAAATCTCAGCAAAATTTCCATGGTTTAAAGGCAGCCAAAAAGGTGTCCTGTTCCATTTTTCAGGAAGAACTTGCGGTCACAAGGCATCTAGTGGAACTTTAGGCTATACATAGGGTGCAGAGCAAACACAGGGTAAACACCTACTCCTCTGAAACCAAAGGCAAGCCAAATGAAAAGCCCAGCTCGTTCTGTAAGCCAGCCTTGACACTGGAGCAGCTACAAAGTCCTATCTGTTGGCCAAGAGAAGAGTCAGAAATAATGCAAGATCCAGGCTTGTACAGCATGTTCCTTCTCCCAGTACACCTTTTCTTAATGTGAAGAGCCTAGAGAATGAAGACAAAACCTTAGACAAGTAATTTTAAAAGCAAACTCTGCCTCTCACTGCAGCCAGATTCTAACCCAGCTTGGCTTCAACCCTGCCAGTACTCCAGGGAGAGACCCTCATACATGAACTGGTATTAGTCCCAACGACAGCAAATTCACTTTTTATGGACAGAAACAGCCTTGAATGAGGCCCTGTTATTTCACTGATCTCTGGGTTTGGGTTGCTAACATGTGCAGATTAACAGACCAGGAACCTGCCCCACATGTTACTGTAAAGTCTTCTGGTTTTGTGTGTCACATTTCTGAGATGTGAAGGGGCAGGGAAGACCCTCCAAAGTAACACCTAGAATAGAACCTAACCCAGTTATCTCTGCACTAAGCCCAGGAACTTCCAGGCTTCTCTTTGTAACTTTCTCCTCACCATTAAAAAAAAAAAAAAAAAAAAGAGAAACATTATTTAATTCTACTTTGAATAGAGGTCTGGTAATCAGGTGCTGTTTTTATTCACACACCTCCAAAGGAGATTAAAAATTACATTTCCTCTTGGTAATAGCAGTTCACATACTGACGAAGTCATAGCAATTTCATCTTTCTTACATGAAAATATTTAACTTTATTCCCTTAACTTCATGAGCTAACTGAAGATACTGGTGTACTGATGCTGCTGATTTGTCCATCCACCCTAAAAATACTGAAGCCATTCTCCCACTTTTTATACCCTTGATCAGTCTTTACCAAACTTAAAAAACAAAGTTGCTGTGAATTGGGTGAGGAGGGGGCAGAAACAAAGGAGAAAAATAAAGTCTAGTTTATGTCCATCAAGACAAAGGATAAAAACTGTTCAACTGTCCCAGAAATGTGGAAATATGACCAGCTAAATACCACAAAGAGCTCAGAACCAGATGCATCTTGTGCATGCTGCTACCCAGAGAATCATTAGGAGACTGGGAAAATGAGACGCCATTTAGGAGAATAATAAATACATGCCTATTTTATACACAGAACATATATATTACACAGGCTTAAATGATACACAAAACCATCCAAAAACTGGATCTAAAGCTGAACAGACTGTTATCTTGACCCTCAGCTAGTCAAGCTTGCAAGCCACCCAGCAAAAGAAATGAAAAACCCAAACCACAACCAACCAAAACAATATCATTCCCAAATTTCTTCCAGGCCTGCTTCAGTCTCACTGATATATCTCCATTCCTTATCAAACAAAATGCCTAATGCCTTGTCCAGAGACTCAGATGAAGAACTGGTTGAGAATATTCCAGAAAATCTCAGCAGAGTTTGAAGTTAACAGGAGGAGCAGATACATTCCCTTATTTTTTGTACCTTCAGTTTCAAACTGGCTTTCTTGTTATGCCATTAGTCACTGCTCGTTCCCAGGACTTTGTTCTGGATGCAAGGATCACTCTGTGAAGGGTCTGGCTGTAGCTGCATGGACAGGCCCATTAGACAAGCACAGCTTCTACTCTACTTGTGGTTTAACCCATCCAGAGGAAGGAATTCCCAGAAATCCCAGATGCTCCAAACTCATACTTCACCAAGACGAAAAGAAATAATTTCAGCGTGGTTTCAGAGCAGCAAAAGACCTGCTTTGTTGAACTGGTATTTGATTACACTCCCAGCTACACACGATCTCCTTCACTGCTCATTCACCACCCCCTGAGGAACACCTGTAGCAAATCACCCACCTATCCTAAAACAGCATGTCTGGACAAGGCAAACTGCAAAATGAGAATTCAAAAGCAAGCTCACAGACTATGAAACGATACTTCTGCCACCCTGGATCACAGACTCGCATATGTGGCTCAGTAGGTTTGTTCATCATGAACCCTCAGATTCTGCAGGTGTCCTACTCCCATCCCACCAGCCTGCACTACTACATAGGACAATTTAGCAGACAACACAAATACATCCAGTCCCTTATCTTCAGAAGGCTTCCAAACGCCATTCCTAAAGTTCTGCACAACGTAACAAACCAAAACAACATTTCTTTGCAGCAAAAAATATTCCACGTTCCCGTAAGATTTTCTTTTGTTTACAAAACGTACATCAAGCCACCTTTTTAACCTTCCCTTCGACAAGAGAAATCAAAGTAACTGCCATCCATGTCACATCTCAGTCCTCAAACCTAGAAGAGGATCCCTGCTCACTGGACAAAGTTGCCCCAAGCAACACCGCAAAGTATTTAACCAGAAGGAATTTTTGAAACACCAAAGGAGAACTGGGGACAGGTATGAACACAGTAAACTTGCAATAAGCTCCACATGGGTACAACAAAGCAATAACAATAAATATATTACAACAATCAGCTTCACCTTTAGACGCATCTCTCCAAGAAAAGCAAATATTTCTCACCTGTGAGCCCATGGCAGATGGTGACACACAAGGTCGAGAGGACAAGCTGGCTGCTTGTGGAGATTCTTCCTGTGTCCTTACCTTACAATCCAAGTGAAGTTTATAGCCAGGCACTGCTGTCCTGTTTGACCACCAATCCCAGCTATTGGCACTCCAGGGAACCTGGGCAGAAGACAAAGCAGAGACCCATCGTGAGCAGCCAAAATGTTCCTCTTCCCCCAGACCCCAACCATCCAATTCCATCAGGCACTAACACCTTTCTAAAGCAAGTCCTGGTGGGTACCTGGAACATGGACTGCCCTGGTAAGAGAGGCTTAAAAGCTGCAAGCAACATCTCATTGAAAATGGGTAGATGAATCCAGAGCAGATTCTTCCCTTCCTCAAATGACATCCCAGGTGGAGTCTCCACCTGGAGATGGAGACTGACAGTTAAGTCAGATTATGTTAGCTAACACTTTTCACCTGGGATACTCATAACTAAGCCCAAAATGGACTTGCTGGCAGTGCTCAGCCCTTGCTGTCATATTGCTGGCACCTGGCCATACCCCTGAGCAATAAAGCAGACAAAAGCACAGAGAAAATTATGGGATAACTCTTGGAGCAGCAATAGGCTCATCTAGAGTTGCAGACCCTTCATTTGCAAATCAGTTCTGGCTGACACTATGGCAACTGGGCCACAAGAGTCTTCCTTCCAAGGGGAGAGACAAATTAGCCCCATTCCCATTGCTTATTTTTTCGTGCTCAGCACTAAAAGCTTTATCCAGACTACAATTATTTCATCATTGCCTTATAGCTCAGGCAGGTTTGGAGGATAACCAGAAAAAAAGGAATGTCTCTTCAGCAGCATCTCTCCCCTGCTATGCCTTGAAAAATTAAATATATATATATACACATGTCAGAGTTTTCAGAAGGTAATGGAAGGACTTCTGAGCATTTAAGATGACTGCAATTTAAGATCCTCCAGTTAAACTAAGATATTTTGCCAAAGCTGCTTTTAAAAAGTGAAAGGCTCATTCCGTCACAATACAACTGTTTCTATCCCAGGTACTTCAAGAAGAAACAATGTTTGTTCTCTAAAAACTGGTTTAGAAATGTTTTTATCAAAAAGACGAGGGGAGAAGGGCTAACTTTTTTTAATCACTTTTTTCTCCTCTCCCAGCTCCTTTATCTTTCTCCTAGTATTTTAGTACAGAAAAAGAGGAAATGCCAGTTACACACAAAAGTTCAGCTCATGCTTTTTAATTCCATGAAAAATAGATCCAGAGAGTGAGTAAAACATTTTTTTTTCCTCCCACAAAAAGCCCTCAAGTTTTAAAAAAAAATTTTAAAAAACTCTTCAATAAACTTCCCCTACTCAGTTTTAACCTGGTGCTCACTCCAATTAGGGCTCCACGTTTAAAACCCTTCTATCAGAGGCATAACAAACCAATATTAAGCTTGTTTATTGTTACTTGCTAGCTCAAAAAAACCAACCTGAGCCACAGCCTCAGAAGAGCTAGATCAGAGGTCAGGATCCCTAATCCCAAAGCCTCCTTTAATTTTACAGTCAACAAATCCATCACTGGTGAATATCACAGAGATTATTTTCCAAGCAGCAGAGCAAGATTGCCCGTCTAATTGGAGAACAAGCAGAAGAAAAACTTGCACGAGGTTTGCTGGCAACCTACATTTCCTCATGTTCCCCTCCAAGCAGGTACACACCTCCATCCTCCCCGGGGTCAGCACCTTCTGCTGCAGAGCTGAGGCTGCTGTAAGCAGAGGGTCATATATAGATGTGTCGGTGGGCTGGGCTTGTTGTGGCTGGGTGGGGCCTGTTGTGAAGGGGCGGGGCCTGTTCATGGAATTATGGAATCATCATAGAGCCAAAGAATCATCATGGAATCATAGGATCATCATAGAATGTTCTGAGCTGGAAGGGACCTTAGAGATCCTCTAGTTCCAGTCCCCCGATTTGGAATCCATGACAGCAGAAGCCCAGCCAGGGCTTTGGCAGGTTCTGAGTGGTATTTCTGGGGTTTTTCACACAGAAGAAATCATTAAAAACTGTGCTTTTCTGCCACTATTCTAGTAAATAGAAGCAAATCCACGCTGCAGTAGCTGGAGTAATAATTTCATGTTCCAAATTACAGGGTTCTTGCCCCTCTGTCCCCAGAAGCAATGATCAAATATAAAGGTTGAAGGACCAAGAGACCTTCAGATCCTTGAGTCTGTCCTGTATAACCCCGGGAGAACAGACCCTGAATTAAATCTTTTTGGTCTTCTGGCACATGGCAGCTCAGACACCAACAGGGTTTCCAGGAAACTGCTGCATTCTCCTGAGAAAGCAGCATTTCCAGCCTGCTTTGCCCCTAGAAATACTCCATCCAAACCATACATGAATGGCAAAGGTGTAACTGGGATATTCAGAGATTAAATGACACCAAGTGGTGCTATAGCTGAAGGTAAAATCTGTTTTCATTACAATGAGGTGAAATGAAAAGTTTTATCTACCTGCAACAGCATATATCTATTATTAAGATATTTATATATAATCCCTTCCCCATAATGGTGTAAAAAGTCACTTTGCTCCACAACTCCCTGTTAAGCATTGTGCCCCACTGAAAACCATGTCCAGACTAAGCCAGTTAGAGCCAAGTATTTCTCTTTTATGGAAATCAGGCTCTAATGAAGCCAAGAACAGCTCAGTGTTTCCAAAGTCAGAGGAGACCAAGGATGTCTGTTGGTGCTTGCCCATGGAGCCATGGCCCATGTGGAGCAGGAGAGGAGGGCGCAGGCAGCAGGGAGATGGGGTTAGGGCAGGCAGAAAACACCACTGGGTGAGCACATGGCTTGATCTCCAGCTGCCACTGCAGCACCTCTGCAAGAAGCGTTCTGACTCATGAGCCAGCCCCATTTCACGGGTGTGAGGTTTTCATGGTATTTCAGGCACCATTTGCTAAGGCACAGCCGGCATCCAAATAGCTTCTTTTACAACCAGATGCAAATACACCAAGCCCCACTACACACAGACACAGATCTACTCACCCCACACATTCTCCTTGGTTAATGTGGTACATGTGTGCCACTGCTGCCTCCGCAGGTCCTTCACCAACTCGCCGAGCCCTGGCTGCTCACATGTGATGGCTCAGCTGGGTTCTGATGGCTTTTGCAGGAGGAGGTCAGAGAGTTCATTCGAGGATATCCAAACTATTTCAAACATACTACCCCATCCCTTTATGCTACAGTGGCTGCCCCTTTCCCCACACAGCGCAGCAGATGGGGAGTCAGGAGCTTGAACGCAGCTTTAAGCCATCGCTGTAGGTGGATCGGCTTTCCTGGTTTCCCTCAGGTGTCTACCTTGTCGTGTCTCACACAGCCCCCAATCTAAGCAAAGGGAAGTTTAAACAGTTCAGACAGTCTGGAAATGCAGGGTATTCCTCCCCTTTCTGCATGACCGCCATGGGCTTGTCTTCCAGGGTTTCACAGCTCTCCCTGGGCTCGACTGTTCGTTTCATTGCTCCATGCTTGGCCTCTCCTCCCTTTTCCCCATGACTCCTCGCAGCCGGGGGTCACTGAAGCTCGAGCTGCCGAGCCTCCCCAAGACCCCATCCCTCATTCCCAACCCATGAGTCACTTCCTCCCCTCAAGCCTCACCTTTCAACTTCCATTTTTCATTTGCTTATGATTTTCTCTCCATCTCCATGGGGGTTTTTGCCCTACACCATTCAATTGCAGCTCTGTTGGTCCAAGCAGGAGTGCTACCAGTGGTTTCAGCAGCTAATTGAGGGGTGTGAAGACATCACATAAACACACAGGGCCAAATCTTCCCTCCATGAAACACAGTGCCAGCCCCTGTGGGGATGACCTGACTTGCATCAGCTGAAAATCTAAGCCATGTTGATGTGATCACTTGAGGTCTCTTTTCTCTCAAGAAAACAACATCATCAGATGATCAAAAGTTGGTTGGAAATGGTAACAAATCCATCTGACAAGAAAGAAAAAAGAAAAAATTCACTGCTTTCCCGTTTCACATGCTTTGAAATTGGCATGTTTTCTATGATTTTTCATCAGTATTTTGTGTTGAAATTATTGTTATTTTTGGAAACCACTACAAATATGGCCTTTGGTAGGAAAATGTAGTGTCTGGCCAATAAAATAATTACTATCAGGATTTCAAAGAGCATACTGAAAAATCACCTCTAATTTAATTTTAAAAAAATGAAAATATAATTAGTGATAATTTAGTTTCATGTAGTTTCATTTTAAAAGAGCTTAAAAAAAACCCTTTTTTTGCCTATGAAGCACCATAAAATTTTAGCTCATCATAAAACCATGCAGGCTGAGGTTTGGGGGTTTTGCCATCCCCAACCCCTGGCAACCAACAGTAAAGGGACTTCTGAAGAGCAGGATCTGCCTGGGACTTCTGGCTCAATGGTCTCTGATGGACACATCCCTTATGGCTCTGTCTCATATAAAGCATTGGTATATGGTAAAGTAATCCTTACTTTTTTACTGTGTCAGCTGTATGGAAGAAGTGGGTGTTCAACCAAAATGAGCAAAACCATGGCCAGCCTTGGGATTTTAGCATATATGATAAGCTGCACCTATGGTCAGAGCAAAGAAAATTCAATAGTCACTATAGCCCCTTTCAAAATGTCACTCCTGCTTTCAGTATCCTCCTCCTGGACTCTTCTCCCTTTGCACCCTCAGGTCACAAAAGCTCAGTGACAGTCGGTGCCGTTTCCCCAAGGACTTGCCACCTGAGCTCTCTCCTCACTGAGGTGATGGACTTGTCCAAACAAGGTTCTTCCTCCTGGAATCTCTTCTGAAGGTCCCAGCGTGTGTCCAGACCTCTCCAGCCAGTTCTCTCTTCCAAGTGGGCAGAGATATCTCTAAGAACTCATGAAAGTGGGGTAGTATATCCACAGCCACCCCAGGAGAGAAGAGCATCCTTCTTAATTTATGCCACCTCCTGACAGCGGGCTCAGACCCCTCTGAGGGTTCAGGTCTGAGCCTGCCCAAAGCCATGTGCATGGGCTGGGAATGACAGCACATGGAGCACAAGTCCATATGGCCACAGTCCTTGCCCTTGACCAAAATACACCAGGCTATTTTGGGATCTGGGGTTACTTCTCTGGCTTACTGCTGGCTCATGGACATCCCAGTTTTCTCCTCCTGCTTATTACACTGACTCCCCACATGCACTCTCCCAGCACCCACTGGCCATGCTCTCCCTTGTCACTGCTGGGATGGTGACAGATGCAGACCAGGGAGGGAAGAGTGAACCCTGCCAGGGACAGGGGACTGCCCTCCCATGGATGCTGCTCTCAATCCCTGGTGACCATCAGCCTATGACAAGTGGGGAGTGTGGGTGTGCAGAAAACAAGGGACAGAGAGGGCTTGGGAGGGTGCTCTGGTGCCTGCACTCACCTTAGAGGACTGGATCTTCCCCATCCCCAGCTCAGCAATCCAGAGATTAATTACTAGGGACAGCTGAGACGGGAGGCAAATGGCATCACCCTGAAGCTGAACAAGGCCTGTGACTGTGTGCTGTGGGATCCTAAATATTTGGAGAGCGAAGGTCAGGAGAACAGGACACTCCTCAGAGATGATTTTCTTCCCAGCCCGCAGCAGGAACATAGGGCTATGCCTGGAATGACCCTGGGCATTAGCCGGAGCCAGCGCCCTTGGGGATCAGCCTGAGGTTCAGTGGTACCCACAGGCAGGTCCTTGGCCTCCAGGTTTTGGCTGCCTCTGAGGTCCAGCACGATGCCCTCCCCGTGCCTGGTGGGTATTTACGAGAGCCCCAATGTGGTGGAGCCTGAAACCAGGAGAAAAGTGCCTGCTGGCCACACCACATCCTTGGTGGGGCGCGGTAGGAGCTGCTGCTGGGCAGCTGATCCTCCTTGCCATGTCCCCTGTGCCCGCTGGCCAGGCCCCTGGCTGTTGCCAAAATAAACACTTGGGCATGACAACGCTGACATTTGCCTTCCACAATCAGGCGCTGGGGAGAAGGACACAGCCGCGTTATTTTTTGCAGGCTGGTCACGAGGCAGGAGACAACCTGCTTGGAGCAGGGAGGTTGGGATCATGTCCCACACACAGCCCATCCCTCCTGCCAAAAGAGCATCCCTCCACGGGAGGGTCACAGCTCTTCTTGATGCCAGTGACAGCAGCAGTCCCACGCTCTGCTATTGATGGGGTGTAGGCAGGTGTGATGGGCTGAGATTTCACCTGCTGGCTCTTTTCATGCTGGGAGAGGTTAAAAATGCATCTGGAGGGAGGTTAGAGAGGTGAAGAACTTTAGCCAAGTGTCCTGCCATAGGAGATGTGCACGTAGAGGATCCCAAGGCTCAGCACACCCCAGCCCACTCATAGGAATGAGCATCTGTCAGACCTCTGATGGAGAAGGGACCACTGGGACACTTCACAGGTGACGGGGGGGCAACCACCACCAGGCACCTGCTGGTGCTTCAACCTTTCTCATCTGTCCCAATTCCCTATTCCTATCCCATCTCGGGATTTGGGAATCAGGTGAGATCTGCTGACAGAGTGCTGGCATCCCTGGGATTTCCCCTGGAGGGGGGGCTGGAGACAGAGGGAAGTCCCTGTGAATGTGGTGCCAGTCAGTTTTATTCTGGGAGAGATGCCAAAGCTGAGCACAGCTGCCGAAACGGGCTTTCCTCACGAGCAGGCTGCTGTCCCACTGCCCCTGACCTTGGCTGAACACTGTGGGGAAAGTGGGGAGAGATTGCACATCCCTCTCCTGCACCCTAACCCCCCCCTGCATGGGGGACAGGC